CTCTCCCTCTCCCTCTCTCTCCCTCTCTCTCTCTCTCTCCACTCCCCCTCTCTTCCCCACTCGCCTCCACTCCCCCCTTGCGCCCACAGCCTTTGGTGTTGATTCCAGCGGGAAGAGGGGGTGGGTGGGATCGAGGGGGACCATGACCTCCAGCTACGGGCACGTTCTGGAGCGGCAGCCGGCGCTGGGCAGCCGCTTGGACAGCCCGGGCAACCTCGACACCCTGCAGGCCAAAAAGAACTTCTCCGTCAGTCACCTGCTAGACCTGGAGGAGGCCGGGGACATGGTGGCGGCGCAGGCAGACGAGAGCGTGGGCGAGGCGGGCCGGAGCCTGCTGGAGTCTCCGGGTCTCACCAGCGGCAGCGACACCCCGCAGCAGGACAGTGAGTGTCCCGGGCCCGGGCGCAGGGCCGGGAGGGGCGGCCGCGGGGCGAGCTCGGGGTTTCCGGGAGGGCTCGGCCGAGGCGGGCGCAGAGGCGCCCCGGGCCTGGCGCTCCGGCTGGGGTCACAGCTGCATCCGCCTTTCGGCCAGCGTCGTCGCCTGAACGTCGGCGGGCTGGACACCCGGGGGCTGGGACGGGTCCCGCCCGGGCGCGATCTGGACAGCCTGGTTACACCAGTGGAGCAGAGTGGGCAGCACGTGGGCGGGGGCAGCGCGGCGCGGGGACGGGGCCGCCAGGCCAGCGCCCTGGTCCTGGTCCCCACGCTGCCCTGTGCCCCCTCTGTCGCCTCCACCTGCGAAGGGGTCTGAGGCCCAGAGAAAAGCCCTGTTGACGCTTGCGCACTCAGGAGAAGCAACGGGAATGTTCTTAGAGGTGGCGCCCGCGACCTAGCCCCGCGTGATCCCGCACCAGCCGCAGACACGAGGGAGTCACGGGCTTCAGAGCTGGGGCCAGTGTCATGCTGCAGGCGCTCTCTGCCTGTTGGCGGAGACCTGAAGAAAAGTCCAAATACAAGCTTCCCTCCTGTCCCCACCTACCGATCCATCTCAGGAAAAGCTGCCTCTTTATTAACTTTGTCTTTAAAATGTGACTGCGAGTGCATCCCAGAGTCCCCAAATGCATCACAGTTCTGTTACCTGAGCCACACAGACAGTCCCTTCTCTTCAGACTGCAGGATCTGAACTTGGCCTGAAGTTCATAAATGATTGCATTCCGTACCATTATTGCTATTTTATGAAATTTGGAAACTTTGAGAGCTCCCAATGTTCTGTGATTTTCACAAAACATTATCCGTCTCAGACTTTCAAAAAATAGGCTGTAAAAAAGCAAACTGGGCTCAGGAACAGCTGGAAAGGGCCTGGCCACCTTGGTGGGGGCCCTCGGCACTACAGAGCAGATGAAAGAGAAGCCTGGGGGCTCTTGCCCCTTCCTTTCCCTGATTCGTCAGCTCAGCTTTGGCCAGGCTGAGAGATTTCTACCCAGAGGCGATTGGGTCCACTCCACCCCATGCCCACTCACTGGTGCAGAGCGGATGCTGGAGCAGGCTGACTTGGCCTTTCAGCAGAGAAAGGCAGCCAATCTTGACAAATGAAGAGTCAGTGTCCCCAAGTCCTGTTTAAGGGTTGGTTCAGAGGCAGAGGGATTCTGTTTAGGGTTTCAGTGCTTTGGAAGCTCCTGCTGTAAGGTTCAGCAGCATTTGTAAAGTGAATCCTAGGCACTATTAGCTAACAAAATGCAATTCGAAATACTGTCGTTCTTTTGGACATTTTACTAGGGAAAACATAAAATATACAAGGATGGTATTCGCAAACTGGCTTCATAGATTCTGCAATTCTGATGTTCCAGTCTTGCTGTGCCTAATTACTAATCACAATATTTATCACTGTTTGGAGAACTGAAGGCTGGACTCCCAGCAGAAAATAGGACTTTGAAGAAACTGCTGTGTAGGCCAGGGTGGGGCAGAGAAACAAGACAGTGCTTCTTTGCCCCAAGAGAAGGTAGGAGGATGGGAAATCAGGTACCCTCAGCAAGCCTCAGGGCCCAGGCAGGCCACGGTAAGAGCACTGGACACTGCAGGGCAGGACTAGTTGTTTTGCTTCTTCCAATGGATGCCAGAGAAGGAGCTCTGGACTTGTCAAGGGCATGTAGCGAGTAAAAGCTGAGCAGAGGAAGATGGATGGCTGCAGAGCACAGGTGCAGATCTGGAAGCTGGCTGGCGTGGTGGCTGGTGGCTAGGAGGCTACCTAGGACTTCTTCGAAGTGGCTCCTGGGAGACCTGGGTGGGCCTGGTGCTGAGGCATCCACTGAGGCATCAGCTGAGGCTTGTGAGGAGGGGCTCAAGGTTGTAGACAAAGTTGGGGCCAGGACTCTGAGAAACTGGTTCCCTTATACAGGAGCTCACCTCCTACTTACCAGGAGTAGAGAGGCCTTGTGGGGGTAGCTCACCTAAAGGAAACTGAGGCTCTGAAGGCTAGTTAGGGAGACAGCACACCACAAAACATAGTCAATAAATAGGTTCAGGAGAAGTCACAGAATGCAGAACAAGGTGGTGCACCTAGGGTTGCAGGCCTTTCTTCCCAGAGAGGTGGCTTGGGGGTTATTGTGACAGTTTGTTGATTTTATAAGCAATGTTTCCTCCATCTCCTTCCTCTTCTCCAAGAAGAGAATGCAGAGAGAATGAGAAGTCTGGTAACAGCCAGGGGCCAGAGGACCAATGCTCTGAGTTCTTGGGTTCCCACCAGGAGTTTCCAAGGAAGTTTTTGTTATGAGCTACTTGGAAGTTCAGACCTGTGGGGTCCAGCTGGGCCTCCAGCCAGTGGGAAGCAGGGAAGAGGGAAGGACTGGGGTTACAGCAGGAGTGAAGCAAGGGACTGAAAGGCCTCACCCGGATAGGATGCACCCTGAGGCCAGCTGAGGGAGCACTGCAAGGCAGGAAAGAGTGTCTGAGAGGGCGGACAGTGAAAAGCCGCCTTGGCCTTTGCCAGCTGTCCAGAACATCTTTGTCCTGTTTAAGTTTTCTGTTAGAGGAAATTAGCAAAACAGGTTCTACTACCTGTTCTCCCTCCAAGACTGGATTCTCAATTTCGTAACATTTTGAATTTCAGTGTTCTAAGTGTAACAAAGAGGAGCTAGGCATTGTGCAAAGTGAGAAGGACTTCCTGCTGACCTTCCTACATCCTTCAGCAATCTAGTCTCCCTCCTCTTCATTGATACCCAGTGTATTTTCCTTTCTATAGAAGAATCTCTCCCCTTCTCTGCTGATTCTTCCAACCCAGTAAATTTCTCAAACTTACGGGGGGTTCTTTAACCCTATTAGCAATCCAGTGGCTAAGTGGGAAAGTGGAATGTGAATGGGGGTGACGGCAGGACAGGGGCAGCTCGGGAGAGAAGAGAGGAACAGGTCATAAACACAGACAAGCCTACTTCCAGGAGGACAGTGCGTCTCCCTGTCATTTCTTGATCTCAACTTCTGAAGAAAAAAAACAAAACCAAAACCAAAAACAACTCCTGCCTTCCACATCCCCAACCTCTAAATTAGTGAAACCAGATTGTCCTAATAAGGCCTCTTGTTGGAAACACATGTAGTCATAAAAAGGTAGACGGAAAGTCAATTAGACACGCGGGCGCGCGCCGGCAAGGCGGACTGGAGCGCAGAGCAGCGCGCGGGAGATGGATTTGCCAGAAAAGGAGAGGGGCAAGCGCAGTCAGCTAGCCGCCCAGCCCACCGGCCACGCTCTCGACCCATCTCCCACCTCCGCTTCGCCGCCGCGACCCAATTTCTAGGGCGCTGCCCAGTCACCCGGACGGGGCCAGAAGCGTCTCCGGCGCCACCGGCCTGGGACTCCCGTCCTTGCAGGCTTCCGAATTTGAATTCGAGCTTCAATTACCTGAATTCAACCGAGGAGCCAATAAAATATATCGTTTTAAGGATAGCCTGGAAAATTTTCACTTCAGACGGGTAGAGGTAAAAACCCCAAGTCTGGGGCGATGCCTGAGTCCCCAAAGCCTAACGTGAAGACAGTAGCGACTTCTGTTTATTTGGCAATCAGAGAGCAGGGGGTGAGTGGCCTCCGCTTAAATTTTGGAGAAACGATCGGTCCGGTGACCCCCGCTGGGCCTGGGGCAGAGGAGGAGGACTTGGACTCGGAGGTGTCCGGGAGGCGCCTGTGGAGGCCGAAGCTGGGGCCGCCCGAGAATCCTCCCTGGGGCTCGGGCTCTCCAGCTCCAGGTCGGGGTTCGCGCCCCGCCGCCCCCTTCGTGGTGCAGCCCCCCCCGCCCCCCGCCCCCCGACTCCGCAGCGCCTGGGCGTCTGGCGACTTCACCCGCTGGGCTCCAGTCACTTTCCCGGCACCCGCGGCAGGCAGCGGGGATCACAGGGTCCTCGGAGTTCCTTTGTCTTCCCAGGGGCGTCATTTTAGACTTTACAACGCTAGTGAATAAATCAACTCTAAACCAACAGGATGTCACCCTCCTCACGCCCCTGGCGAGAAGAGGCCTTTCAGGAGCAGAAGCAGAAACGCCTCTCTCTCTATTCTTCCCACACGGATTTGCTGGGTTCCGAGAGTTTCCAGTATAGATTACTATTGTTCACCTCCCGGACCCCTTTGCACTAAATGACAGCCGTAGATTTTCAACTATGAGGGTCCTTAGACCAATTTGATTTTTAAAATTGCAAATGGAAAGGCACTTTTACAATTCTGCTATCCCTTGCCTACTGGCTTGCTTCATGGAGCCGGCCACTCCCAAAGCAGGGCCCTGGAGAGCCTCTCTCCTTGGCCGAAGCACTAGGGCCGGCGTACCCGGTTGTTGCAAAATTGTGCAAAAGTCTGTGCCCACGCTGCGACCTCTGTCTCCAGCTCCTGCTGGTGTCCACTTTTTACGGCTCTTGAATATGCATTTTTTTTGGTACCTGGGATCGAACTCAGGACCTTGCCCTTGCAAGAGGCAGGCTCGGTTCCACTGAGCTAAATCCCCGGCCCCTGCATATGCGTTTTTTAATCTTCAGAAGATTTGGAACCAGCAGAAGCTATATGAATGATACCGCTTTGAAATCTAGAGCATTTGTAGAGAAGGAGATAAGGCTAAATGCGTGTGTGCTGCTGTTGTTATTACTGCAGATGACAGAGGAGGGTTTTTGGGGGAAGAGTACCCTTCCCCAAAGAAAAAGTAAAATCCAGAGGCTCAGCATCCTCTAGCCAAGTCTTTGTAAGTTTAATCAATAGGAACCTCAAAGCTAAAGATAGACATTTACAAAACACAAACAAAAATTGGATAAGGGACCAACTCTGTGACCATTCTGAATTCATTTACCCGTGAATGTACCGTGTGACAGTCGGACTGGATACTGCTTGTCCAATTCTGTATTTCACTTTGATGCAGCCATTTACCACTCCCGGGGCTTGGGTGTGCTTCAGCTCTCTATTCTACAAGATAAAGAGGAC